GATGACATTGTGATCTGTAGTGAGAGCAGAGAGCAGGTGGAGGTCTGCTCTGGAAAGAAGAGGAATGAAAGTCAGTCGTAGTAAGACAGAATACATGTGTATGAACGAGAGAGAGGGAAGTGGAACAGGGAGGCTACAGGGGGCATAGGTCAAGGAGGCGCAGGCGTTTAAGTATTTGGGGTCAACAGTCCAGTGTGATGGGGAGTGTAGGAAAGAGGTGAAGAGGCGAGTGCAGGCGGGTTGGAGTGGGTGGAGAAAGGTGTCAGGAGTGTTGTGTGACAGAAGAGTGGCAGCAAGAATCAAAGGAAAGGTGTACACGACAGTAGTGAGACCAGCTATGCTGTATGGGTTAGTGACTGTAGCAGTGAGGAAAAGACAAGAGGCAGAGATGGAGGTAGCAGAGATGAGGATGTTGAGGTTCTCTTTAGGAGAGACCAGATTGGACAGGATTAGGAATGAGCACATCACATGATTTGAGCACATGCAGAGGAGGGATAGTGGTTATATTGGTAGAAGGATGTTGGAGATGGAGCTGCCAGGCAAGAGGCCAAGAGAAAGGCCAAAGAGGAGATATATGGATGTGCTAAAAGAGGACATGAAGTTAATTGGTGTGAGAGTAGAGGATGCTGAAGATAGTTAGGTGGAAACAGATGATTTGATGTGGCGACCCCTAACGGGAACAGCTGAAAGAAGAAGAAGAAGATATTACTCTGCTCTCTACTCTGATCACAAAAGGGGTAACCTTGGGCTGGTTGCTGGATACAATCCCTTTACAGTTTATAGCTGACTGGGCTTTAGATTTCACCATAATGACACGGAAGTTTGTTTTTTTTAATAGGCCTGACATTCCACCTCTGGGGCTTAGGGATTTTTTGAGGGTTTTTCTAAATGAACTTCTAAATCAATTACCTAAAACGTTTGAGGACAAACTTGCAGAGTCTCTGCAAAATTCATGTCCATTTAAATAAGACAATGATTGCTTAACACAGATCTAATTTAAACTGTTAAAACAGTTGTTCTGCTTTTGCTTCCTCATCACATGGACTCAGTTTCCCAGAGTCCCATGCTTATCAACATCCTGCTTGAGCCCACAGACATAGCATTTATAGTGTGCTGCTGGACAATGATGTTAGAAATAAAAACCAGTGACATTAAATTTGTCCTCTGCTGTGTCATTGCATTGACAGTAAATGAACAAAGGACCACTTTTCATTATCACCACTGTAAGACAATCTAGTGTTGTTCATAATAATAATAAAAATCCATTTTAATGCTATCTGATATCCTGATTGCACCTACAAGCAAAAAAGAAGAAAAATCTGTACAGGTAAAACTATTAAATTTGAAATTTTACTTGATAAATTGGAAAGGTATGGTATTAGAGGTTTGGTGCTGAAATTGATAAAAAGTAATTTGTCCAATAGACGGCAATTTGTGGTCTGGGTGGGCATCAATCTGATTTTTTGGATATAGTATGTGGGGTCCCACAGGGGTCAGTTTTGGGCCCTAAACTTTTCATATTCTATATAAATGATATATGTCATGTTTCTGAATTATTGAACTTTGTATTATTTGCTGATGATATTACTGTATGGGCCTCTGGGGAAGACCTACAGCAACTTCTGGGTTTGATTACTCTGGAATTGGATAAGGTGAAGAAATGGTGTGACAGGAATAAGTTATCATTAAATTTGAAAAAAACTAAGTTCATGTTGTTTGGATATGGAAGATTAAATCATCAGATTCAAGTAAGGGTGGGGGATGCCAATATAGGAAGAGTTTATGAAACAAAATTTTTAGGTATAAACATTGATGATAAAATCTGTTGGAAACCTCACATTAAATATATACATAATAAATTGGCTAAAAGTATATCTATATTGGCTAGAGTTAAAAATATCGTGGATTGGAAGTCACTCCATATTCTTTACTTTCCTTGTTTGTACCTTATTTGGACTACTGTGTTGACTGTTGGGGTAATACATATAAAAGTGCATTATGGCCATTATTTATATTGCAAAAACGGGCCATTAGAATTGTTTATGGACTTGGTTACAGGGATCATACGAATTCATCATTTGCACTATCAGGTTTGTTTTAAATGTTTTGATTTAGTAGAATATAAATCTGCTGTATTTATGTATAAAGTTAGATATAATTTGGTGCCAAGTGGGACAGCTGCTTCTTTTTCTTGAGCTAAAAATAAAATGCTTGTTTCACAATAAAAGAGAGAATGAAAACTAATGTAGGAATAAATAAGGTGCACCATTACCTTTACACGCCTGTTCCTGTGTGTTGTCTCTAGGCTGTGCATCTGGAGCGCTGCTCAGCCCAAGGCCCAGGGTGTGGTCCCTAACCACAGGATAACCCAGCACACCAGAACACAGGGGCCTTTGCTCCTCTTCTTCCTCCTCCTCCTCCTCCTCCCCCTCCTCAGTGGACTCTTTCTTCTCCTCAGCTGCTGAGGAGGCGTAGATCTGCCTCCCCTGCTTGGTGTTGCAGTAGATGGCCACTGGGTCCTTATTGTGGGGGCCTACAGGGAGAAAGAGATATTAAGGAAATCTGCTGGGGTAATGCCGACTTTGGCACCAACACTTCCTCTGGGGAAGTCGGGGATATCTCATTAGCTCTGACAAAACAGGAGCGAGTATTTTAATTTGGGGTTGAGATGAGCACAAACAATGTCAAAGGAGAATTTAGCAGTGAGTTTTGTATGTTTTGAACAGAACAGGTTATGCAACTGACAGTTCCTCCAAATGTGTGTTTACAATGAACAGTAAATGAATAATGCTCCTTGTCTATTAGCAGCTTCACACTTGATGCATGGAAGCAGGATTCGCCGGCTGCAGGACTGTGAAATGGACTATTCAGTACAATCTCTGTGTTCACTTGTGTTATATTGGGAGATGGTGAGACTGTATTCAGACGGCCTGTAACCATGGTGACCGATTAGATTTGCCTGAATTGAAGCCAAACTGCTGAGTGCTGCTGTGTGTGGAGGCTCGGTGTCCAAGTCCCAAGTCTCCTGGCTATTAGAAGTCAAATTACAACAGCTCCCATGGTGCGGGGTGCTCTGAATCAAACAGCATACGCTGTCATCTGAAAGCCGCCCTGCTGTCTGAGGGCAGAGAGTCTGTGTGTTTATCTAGTGTAAGTGATCTGAAAAGAGATTTTCTAACCAGAATACACAGCTCCTGATGGGTGTGTTATAAAGGAGGCTCAGAAACATCAACTCTGCAGACTGAGTTAAAAGCACTTGTAGCGATGCTGTATCTTGAGCTGACCTGTGGAGGATTTCCTTCTGTAGGACACTCGTCTACGACACTTGATGCCATCCATGTTAGAATTGGTCACTTGTGGATAAGGCGTCTGTAAACAATGAACAACATGATCAAACACACAGTTTGGTGACACATATCAATGTGTTTGTTAAAATATTTTGTATAATGAGCTAGTTGACTTTAATCTGGAGCCACAGTTGCCTGTGCAGTACACAAGTACACAAATCATCAATGTCACCGTTTCTCCATTTATTGAGAATCAGAATCTTCTTTAATCAGCAAACATGTTTTAACATACAGGAATCTGACACCGGTACAGAGGCTCTCAATGTGTTATAAGGCAACAGGAACAGAAAGTAGAATGAGAATGAAAATATAAAGTAGAGCAATAAAAATGAGGTCAAGAATAAACAGTGTGTGCATTCAAATAGGAAATGTGTGCAATCAAAAAAAGGAAAGGAATGAGAGGGAAAGAAAGACAGCTTTTATAAATACCTGTACATTTATATATATTATGGCAGAAGAACGTTTGGACTGATATATACAATAGTTATATTTACAGTGTACTCTCCGGTGTTGATTGCTGTGTCCAGTCATACAGTCATGGATGAACTCTTCATTAGAGTGATGGCACAGGGAAAGAAACTGTCCCTGTGCCTGGTTGTCTTGGTGCACAGTAACCTGTAGCACCGTCCAGAGGAGAGGAGTTCAAACAGTTTGTGTCCAGGGTGTGAGGAGTTTGCAGAAATCTTCTCTGCCCTCCTTTTTACCCGTGAGGTGTACAGGTCTTCCATGGAGGGCTGGCTGGCACCGATGATCTTTTCTGCAGTCCTGACTGTCCACTGGAGTCTGTTCCTGTCCTGTTTGGTTGCTGAGCCAAACCAGACAGTGATGGTAGAGCAGAGAACAGACTCGATGATTCCTCTGTAGAACTGTATCAGCAGCTCCTGGGGCAGGTTGAACTTGCTGAGCTGACGCAGGAAGTACATCCTCTGCTGTGCCTTCTTGATGTTGGATGTCCACTTCAGGTCCTGGGAGATAGTGGAGCCCAGGAACTTCACTGTCATCTCCACTGTTTTGAGCATGTTCAGCTCCAGGTTGTTGTGACTACACCACAGGACCAACTGTTCAACTTCCTGTCTGTAGGTTGACTCGTCAACGTCTCACATGAGACCAATGACTGCTGTTTCATTTGTGAACTTTAGGAGTTTAACAAGAGTCCTCTGAGGTACAGTCATTGGCGTAGGGGAAGAACACACATCCCTGGGGGCCACCTGTGCTGACAGTCCAGATGCTGGATGTGGTTTTCCCCAACCTCACGCTTTGCCAGAAAGCTCATGATCCACTGACAGGTGTGGGCAGGCACAGTGAGCTAGGTCATTTTAAAACCAACATTTCCTTAACTAGGAAACATAAACTACTGCTTGTGTTGTTGGAACACCACACATCTCCATTGATTTGGAGCTGATGTAATCCTACCAGACCCTTCTCATGCTCCTCTGTCTCTGTTCTTTCCACTCTTTAAATAAATAACAAGCACAAAGTGCACTTCCATGACTAAAGTTGATTTTAATCCACTTAATGCAACAGGCCTTGCAAATCTTTTCACTACACTCAATACATCATAATAACAGCCGACATTACAGCCTCTGTCTGTACTGCCCATTCCACCCTTAGTGCCTTACTAATTCTCTGTATTTTTCACTATTACAGTATGTTCAAGCACATGGCATGCTCCATCTTAAATGGACATGTGGAGAGCACCAGTACAAGAAACAGACTGTTCAGTTCAAGTTAATGGACTCTACATGAAGCTTTCATATTGCAAAGTAAAGCAGAAGACTGATTGTACATAAAAGACTTCAGTCAATTTCAGTGTGATCAGAGAGAGGAAGTAAAGACCTTACCTTATCATTTTCATCACGGAGGTCAAAAGTCAGCTCCAAGTTTGTAAGGAAGTGGTCAGCAAACTCCGGATACATATCGAGAACCTCCAGAATCTCCTCCCGCTGAATGGTGTGGAGGTCACAGTAGCTCAGCGCTCGCACGTCAGCGCAGGATTTCCCTGGCTTGGTGTAGAGATGGATCATCTCACCAAAGATGTCATTTTTACCTACAAAAGAAAGAAGGGTGAGAGGCAAACAATCGCATATAAGTAACTGACTCCTTTTAGCTTTTTAGAGACATGAGCATTGTTTTATTTTATTGCTGTTTTTAGTCTTGTCTTAACCTATTGTAAAGCACTTTGGTCAACAGTTGTTGTTTTTAAATGTGCTATATGAATAAACTGCTATTGCTATAGATTTAGTCTTTGTCTTATCAGTTTTAGTTTTAGTCAATCTTTAGATTTTTGGTAGTTTTAGTCAATAACAAATTTTAGCAGATTTTTTAAATTTTTATCCAGCATTTTTATATCTACTTTTTATCTTCAACTTTTTTGTGTGCAGTTACCATGGTTACACGTGTTGTTCCCGTCTACCCTGAGGTTTGTGGAAAACAGTGTTTATTTATTCTGGTCTACAGAAGCTGAACTCACATTTGTACTAAAATCCTCTGCACTGGGTTCTGCTTGAAAGGTGACACTAAATCGTTGGATACAACAGTGAGATCTCTACAGCAAACATTTTGAGATGATTTATGGTTGACTGTAAACAAATTGCAAATTGATCCATTTAATAATTCATTATTTCCATCACCTTAACATAAGTCCCAGCATGTCATGTGCAATATCATGACCATATGAAAATAATGTAGAAATAATAATGTGAAAATGGAGTAATCAGCAGGTCTCTTGCTACAACAGAGAAAATATGCCGAGTTGTGCATATGCTGCAACTTCACAGTTCGCAAGTTTCTGCTCATTATGACCTTACTGTGTCATCAGTTTTCGCCAGATCTTATTGGCTGCATGAAAACAATTTTAAAAAATGTATAAAAGATCCAGTACACCTGCCAGCTTCTGGAGTGGAAAGAGAACCGGAGACATGAGTTTCACTGTTGTTACATTTGGATGCTGTTGATAATGCCCTGTGACTCAGCAACTCCTGTCATCAAGCATCGCATCAAACCACACTGACAGCTGCATGAAACTCTGGCTACCTTCCTCTCTCTCCGTTTGGTTCTTTTCTTTCTAGCCCGCCCACTCGCTCAGCTCACTGCTTCTATTGTCATCTATCTCTATTTGATAGCAATCATGCTTTTGTCCCCCACATCGTCGTGCTCCTCTGAGGCTCTTTTTGAAGTCATCAACAGAATTCACTGTTCACTATTGAACCATATTGTGTATAAAAATTCTGAATGGATGTCACAGTTCTACATTGGGTGTGTGCACTAGTATTTCTTGCATCCTATAATCCTTCCAGTTTTTACTTGTCAAAAAAGCTCATCAGTTTCTTAGGTTATACCCAACTACTGGCACCAAACATGAATTTCAAGATGATCATTCTAATCCCAAACAAACTACTGAATAACATGAAAATGTCCTTAGACCCACCGAGGATGGCCACTACCACATCCTCTTTGAGGATTTCAATGGAACCACGGGAGACAAAGTAGACTGCGGTGAGCACGTCTCCACAGTGCACCAGGGTGTCACCAGGAGGGGCATGGGTGGTCTTGAACCTCATAGCCAAAGCCCGGAGGCAGCCCTTGGTGGCTCCATGAAATGCCTTGCAGCCATGGAGGAGGCTCTTATTGAGATGGAGGCAGATATCCGCCTGCAGACACTCTGGAAATCCCTTCAGGACCTGAGCATAGAACATGGATCAAAGCACACATGATTACGCTCATATGTGATTGTTTTTTTAAGAACCTGTGTCAAGTTGTGGTTTAGGATGAACTTGAAGGTCAAATTGACTGGACTTCCAGAGAATTTGGTACAGTTGCCATTTGTGTTCTTTCCTTCTTCTCAAACCCTAAGTAGAAATAGCCTGCAATATCTTTCTCCACAATTTACTGTTTCGCTAAGCCATTCAGCAGCTTTAGGTGAGAGACAAGACAGAACACTTAAGGACTGAAAAGCTACAGAAAAATGACAGCACAAAGTGGAAGCACAGGCTACAAGAGTTTCACTGCCTTATGTGCATGAGTCATAACCGGACATACAATATATACAGTCTTGTCTCAAAGAATGTCAGTGTTGAAACATTCATCAATAATATGACCAATATTCTGCTAGGTATACTGAAACTGGACCTACATTTTAACATTTTCTTTAAATTGAACAATTTTGTGAAGACATTCTGATAATTAAAAACAAACTTAATACACTTACCACTTTAAAGACAAAGATACAGTGACCAGTGTCAAAACAATTAATCTTCCTCGGCCAATGTGAACTGACTGTAACAGACTGCATTTTCTGTTCATACTTTAACACCTTAACATACAGTGGAAGGTAATGACAGCGGCTTCAGGGACACATAAGGGACAGCTGAATCAAGAAAACATTTCTTATCCGTTTGTCATTTACACATAAAAGAAAAAAAGAAATGTAACCTGAACTGGTTTTCTGGCTCTGACAGGCTTTTTGTTGCTTGGAACAAAAACTGATCAGTAGATTTGGAAAGGAAAGACTAAACAACATTTGGCAAGCACAGGTGCCACCACAGAGGCTGCAGCCAAGCCTCCCATGGTGGGAGGGAAACCTGGCAGTGCCCTGAGAGGCTGAACCCACCCTCACAAGCGTGATTCACTCGGTCTCTGGTACCAGATGAATATCACGAGGTTGTGTTTGGATACAAATGCTTCATGCAAGAGAGACCTCAAGGCAGGCAACATGCAAGTCTGCCACTGACAGATGATTACTATGGCCTGCAAGAAATATTCTAAGTCAATGTATGTGGGTCTTCTGCAGGATCACAGTTTACAGTACAGTTGTGTTCATGTATGTACAGCAAGTTGTAACATAAAACACTGAGGGGGCATGCCTTCTAAAAACATGCAGGTTTGGAACAAAATTACACTTTCAATCTGTTGTGTTGTGTACTTTAAAGCTAAAAGCTAACAATTCACTACTAGTATCAGACAGATGAAGCTCTACCACTGAGGAACATATCAACAGTAGCAGTATTAACACATGTACCTCCTGCTCTTACCGGAGTGGTGGAGTCATTCCATTGGATATGAGGCAGACATGGAAAAGACAAACTTCTATAAGTACCATGAACAGTCTTATGAGAACAGCCAGAGTTAGTGTATGCACAAGCAGGAACTGTGGCTTTCATATAACTCATGGCTATGACGGAACACCGCACAGTATAATCGTGATGAAAACATACTATGCCAATGACATCACATTGATGTGGTAAGAGCATTTGTCGGGGGGGGGGGGAATAGTTGAAACTCAGCAGAAATGGTGGTCCAAACATCAACTTCACACAAAAAGATTTGTGAAGGAGAGAAGAAGCAACAGAACAAGAAACTTATAAACACATTTTTACCACTGTGAAAAAAAAACCTAGACATTTGACAAATAAAGAACCTAAATAAAGCACACACTGGTACATTCACTCCCCTCGTACCATGTTCATATCGATGCCGTTGGTATACGTCCAGGCGTGCTGGAAGTACTCCTCCAGCCTCTGCCTTAGTGGGTTTGGGATCTGATGGAAACGGATGAATTCTTTGACCCGTAGCATCTGGAGGTGATACCTGGCTGTGCCTGAATACAACCTCTGGATGATGGCAGACACGTTCCCAAAGATGCTGGCATACATTAGAGCTGGGAGACAAACCACACAGTTGATCGCTGAGCTAGCAACTGAATTTACTTGTGTTTATTGTAAACAAAAGTTTTTTTTTTTCCACCCCAATAAAAACCTACGGTGTCTGATGCCTTTGCAAAAGTTTTATTGCACTGTGCATGTATTAAACAGTTGTGTTATGTCATGATGTGATACGGAAAAGAATTAGAGCCACTGCAAACAATTTATTTGAGCTCTGACTTTTTTTCAGAACACATGTTGGACAGGATCCTTATGTTATGAACAGGGGTGATTTTTCTTTCAACAAAACTGAAAGACTTGCCTCCTATTGAGGCAGACAATACTGTCCTGTGCAGAAACATACAGTATATAGACATAAAATGTATAATATGTTTCTGGTACTGTGGATTAATCTAGCAACAAACATTCAATGCGCAGCACCTCTTGATGTTAACCACTCTCAAAGGTTTGGTAAAATGCCACTAAAGACATCAGATCAGGACAGAGAAGTCACAGTGACATGACAGGGGTGGCTGTGGCTCAGGAGGTAGAGCGGGTCGTTTCCTAACCAGAGAATTAGTGGTTCGATTCCCAGCTTGTCCAATCAACTTGTTGATGTCCTTGAGCAAGACACTGAACCCCCAGTTGCTCATTTGTGAGTGCGAATGGCCAAGTAGTGTGAAAGCATTTTCAGAATGCTATAAAGTAGAGAAAAGCACTATACAAGTATAAGACCATTTACCATGTCATATATAATCAACACATTCTGACTTTTTTCTCAGGTTAAAAGTCTGGAACCTGAGAAAAAGTCAGAGCTACTTTTTTTTTTATATAAACAGTAGCCATAATCCTCTTCTGTAATGTTTAACAGTAATTTGTGTAGAAACAAATGTGAATGTTTCCTTTAACATCTGAGTTGTGTTAACATTTGTATGAGTATGTATCTGTAAAAGTGTACTGTAAAGGTTCTAGAGTTTCAACAGCTACATCAAAGAGTGTGTGTGCTGCAGATTTTCCTCAGAGAACCCTGATTACTGAGGGTTTCAGTAATAGGATGAAAATACAGTCTGCATGTGACTCAGCTGTCACTCACATCCAATGAGCATAACGCAAATGGAAAAGATCTTCTCAGAGTTGGTGTTGGGGGAGACATTCCCAAAGCCCACGCTGGTCAGACTGCTGAAGGTGAAGTAGAGTGCTGTGACGTACTTATCTTTGATGGAGGGGCCCGAGCTGGGGTCACTGTCATTGTATTTTTTTCCTACAATGAACAACAATACAACACATTACATACAAAAATTACAAAATCTGTATTGTATCAAAAGTGAACAAAGTTTTTACTGTGGCATCCTTTAAACTGAAAATTTGAAAACAGAAAAAAAAAAACTGAAGTTCACCTATTGACACTCCCAGGTTGTCCAGCCAGCCAATCTTATGCTTCAGGTAAGGCTTCTCCACGTTACCAATGGCATACCAGATGCAGGCCAACCAGTGCGCGATAAGGGCAAAGATGCACATGAGCAGCATGAGGACGGCAGCTCCATACTCTGAGTAGCGATCCAGCTTACGCGCAACACGCACCAGCCGTAAGAGACGAGCCGTCTTTAGCAAACCAATCAGAGTGGTGGTCTGGGGTGAAATACAAACAAATATACAAGATACAATGTCAGTGGTGAACTCAATTATAATGCCAGATGAGATGTAGCAGATAACTTCTCTTTACTGAGCACAATAAACGGTACATCATACAAAAATCCAGAAAACATACGAGTCAATCATACCAGTCCAGGGTCAATGCCAACAAACTCACACAGCCAAGAAATCCAAAACAAGAGGTCAGAGAGGGGAGTCCGATGGTCGGTGCACAGTAACCAAAACAGAATCAGGAGGGTTAGGCAATAATCAGTGGTCAAAGGTAATCCGGGGTCAGAGCAGGAAATACAGACAACAAGAATAACACTGGAAAGTCTGAACAGGGGTCAAGAACAATCTAGCAGCTTCCCACAGGGTGAGAAGCTGCTATATACTGTTGTGAGCAGGTGTGGGTAATCAGAAGCAGGTGAAACCAATTTGGATAATGAACTAAAGTTCCCAGGAGTCAGGGTGAACTGGGGACAGGAAGTAGTATCAAAATAAAAGCATGACAGGAAGCAAACAGGACAGAATCATCACATCTCCTGTTTTGGTGTAGTTAAGAAATTAGGATGTTTTCTAATTTTCCATTTGAGAATTTATTTAGTGTAGTTGTCTTATATTAGTCTTGATTTACAGTAATTTCCATATTTGGTAAATAAAGAATCAGAAACCAAACAAAAATCCTTAACTTAAATAAAAGTAACAACAGCATAAAAATACTGGAGTACCTACTTACTTTGCTCCTATTTAGGTACATACTATAAATATTATTAGCAAAACTAGGAAAATGGTTCCTGCACTGATCTACCAGTCCAAAATTTGGACACATTTTCATTATCAATTTAATGGGAAAGTGTATCCAAACCTTTGACTGGTACTGTATGACATTATTATATACACAGGTGTGCAAACTGTCAAGCATCCAAAATGATAAGATTTTTTCTTGCCCAAAACAAAGACAATATTTAAGCATTACACTCAGGCTCCATACAAATGTACTGTAGCATACCACAGTCGGCACTTTTTATACATTTCTCTCATTTTTGCCTTTTTGTCAAGTAGAAAATTTGACATCTTTTGTAGGTATTTAAGTGAAACCATGTGAGAAGTTAAGAGTGGAAATGCCTTTGGTGGAACTGCAGACATCAGAAGCCATAACAAGACACTGCTTTTTTGTAAAGGGGCACAAGCTACAAAAGGTTGGAAGCTGCTAGTTTAATCTTTAACAGTGTGTTCATCTGTAAGGTAAAGAAGAGCACTATCAGTCAAATAAATGTACTGTAGTGTGAAGTACAATGTTTCCCTGTGAAATGTAGTAAGTAGGTACAAAATTAGAAACACTCAACATGTTTTCTGAACAGTGGCTTGAAAAAGTATTCAGAACCCTTCACTTTCTGCACACTTGGTGTTGGTGGTTTGTGCACCACACTGCAGATGAAAGCAGCATGCTGTACAACTCATGGATTTTGCTGGCTGTAGTCGGCTTGCATGCTGGTGACTGGTGAGACTCGGTGTCTTTAACTGGATACGAAGGGTTTTGTTGAGGTTTTGTTGAGTGTGTGGGTGCCGGTAAAGATTGGGGGGGGGGGTTCTGGGATGCTGAAAAACACTGTTCTCTTGTCTATTTTGTTCTCCTCTCAAATTAATTTCACTAAAAAGCCAGTTGGACTGTAGCTTAACCTCAACAAATAAAATGCAGGCAGAAGGCCAGGTCATGCCTCCAAGTATCTGCTTTTTGCTAAGAGAAAAATCAAGGATCTAAAATCAAGGATAGTGTTGACGTGCTACTGACTCATCATTTTTATTTTTAAAAGTAATAGCACTTTAAATTATCCTACACCAAAGAAAAAGCATGGATTCATTTACAAGTGCAATTACACGTGCTTAGCCTAAAGTTTGACCTACGTGGCCGAACCCGAGCATGACATCTAAATTTCTGTCTGAACCCGGCCCAAGCCCTCGGGTACCGACGAGTCCCATTGGGCTCAGTCCAGTTATCCGCGTTCTAGCCTACCCTAAGCTAAAAAAAAAAGTGCTGTCAACATGAGGCTGGTATTTACCCTTTGCTTGGGTGAGATTAGGAGTTGAAAGAAACTTGAAGGTACTGAAGTCCTGATTATGTCTATACTCCGTGTTTCCTTCGAGACTTTAGTTTTCTAGCATGACACAAGTCCTGATTTATTAGTGTCACAAAATCTGTAAACACAGTAAGTGCAACTTAGCGAACACTGATGGGTCCTACCACTTCTTGTCAAGCCTGGCATTCATCCTAATATCGCTGGGGAAATCATTACCCACAGCCTTCTGTAGCAATGGTGTGTACACTTGCTTATTTATGCCTCTTCTACAGGTGAGAGTAAATAAGTCATTGATTATTTGAAGTAATAAAAACGCAAAGGCGAGCCGGTGGACTTTTAGTTTCTGAAGAAAAATGGTGAGGATGAGTGTTATAGTTGCTTCTGATTGGCCCATTAAATAGCTTCTGACATGCCAGTCTCACCCTTAAATCACTATCACCATTCCCTGCTGTGCGTCATGCTGTTTCAAAAATGACTGAGTGAGTGATTCATACATATACAAGGAGTGAGGCTAAAGCTCCCATTAGCACCCAGCTGTATAAAACATATCAGCTGAATATCCCTCTACCACTGGAGCTTTCCAGTCCCTCCTAGTCACTTTCAAACGCTCATCAGATGTTGTGAACTTAACCTTTTGAGACTGTGTACTTGGGCACAGTATTCAGTTCAAGGTGTTCTCATGTGAATTTTTTTATACACCATGATATTTTCCAAAGTGACTGAAATGAGTATTAATGAGTGTACATCAGATTGACACTGATAAACTTAGCCAGTGGGTACATACACGCACTTCAATCTCTTTATGACGCTTTTTTTAACCTCTGCAATTTACAAGTGTGACATTTGTTAATTTCAGTCAAACTTCCTTACTTAATCAGAACCTTATCCAATTAAACCTGCAATAAAAATGGGAGCAGCAGAAACAAACCGTAATCACAGTATTGGAATATTATGGTGGTGAGAGTGAACCACAGCAGTACATTTGCAAGCAAAAAACAAAAAGAAAAAACCATCAAGCTGAGAAATGCTGAGAAGCTCAACGGAACTGAGGGGAACCAGAGTCAGATATCATTTTCTGTGGACTCATTCATCTCCTTAACTGTTAAAGCTGACAAAATTCAAAAAGTGGTCACATTTAATCTACAGTCATAAGAAAAAGTGATACCATTACTTTTTCTTGTGACTGTATATACTGTAGTTGCACACATCAGCACATTGTTTTACTTATTCATCTTATTTGAAAGGAGGACAAACATAGTGTATACTTTGAGTGAATAGTTGTACAAGGGTATAAAACAACTGGCTGACTGTGTGTACAATTCCATAAGGGCAAAAGTGAGATTGAGGGGGCTGCTTGTTACAATGAACCTGCCTGTTCTTTCTTCTTTGTTTAGCACGGTGCTGCAGGTTTTGCAGCATAAAAGAGTTGGAGTGCATTTCTGTACAGGTATGTGCCAAAAAATTTGAATATCGAGGGAAAGTCCATTTATTTCAATAATTTGTTTCAAAAAGTGAAACTTGTATGTTATATTAGTTCACTACACACAAAGTGAAATATTTCAAGCCTTTATTTGTTTCAATTTTGATGATTATGGATTAAAGACAAAAAAAACCCAAATCCAGTATTTCACAAAATTAGAATAT